GATTGGAGGTAGCTGAACCATCATCACAGCATCTTTCCCTTTATTCTAGGGATGGTATAAAGTTTGCCTTTGAGGAGCCAGCATCCCCAAACACCAAGCTGGGTCTCATCAACTTGCCCTTCTTGGAACTGCTAAGTGAATTTTCTCCAAGGCTGTTGCCTCCTGATAAGGCTCTGCTGTGAGTATACGGATGGGGGAACCTCTTGGAAAGCATCTTTCCCAGCTGAAAACACCTGATGTGTTCCTCCTGCACACAGCTTCGCCTATCTGAAGATGATGTGTCAGGCGCATTTCTCAGAGTACAAAGACGAACCCTGCTGGTCATCACTTCTAGTCTATCAGCATTCCCTGAGCCCTCTGGAAGATGCACCGCTCCAACCTGACTGTGCTGCCAAGAGGAAACGCCTGAATGGTGGGTGTGGGGCCCACAGAATTGTGTGCAGAGGGATTTGAGGTGGTGAGTGGGAACTCTGTAAGGAAGGTACTCTTGGAGGGCTGGAAGAGAACTGGTGGTGCTCCTGTGGAGTTGAGGATGGAAACCAGTCCGCCTGGTGTTCTGTTTTGCCAGAGTCCTCTGGGCACAGTTGCAATGCCAGCCTCACCTCCAGCAGCCGCCTGGAGACACCACTGCTGACTTCCACCACCCTGAGGACAAAGCGCCAGCTGGCTAGCCCTCTGCTGGGAGAGGAGAATTCAGGCAGCGAATCGGAGTTTGTACAGAGGTGAGATGTCAGTGGGTTACAAGAATAGAGTGACTCCTTGTGCCCCACATCAGGGTTTGAATGGCCTTTTAGCAGGAAACTATAGCTGGGTTTCCAGCAACCCTGCGAGATGGGGAGGCTGTGGTGACCCCACCTGGGCAGAAAGCTGGCACGGTAAGGATACTTGGGCCAGTATGGATGTGCTGTAAAGTGCTGCAGTAAAAACTTCGAAAGCCAAAGGAGCTGTTTTGTTTTGCGAGTGTTCCAGGTAGGGAATGCTTTGAATATCTTGTTTTGCTTAAATGATATGACTGGAGACAAGTCACCTCTGAATTGTCCTGCCTGAGTCAGGGCGGGAGGGACCAGCCACATCCATGCTGTTGTAGATTAGGCTGACCGGGGTAGTTTTGGAGTGAAACAGCAACCTTTTAAGGAGCACCGTGAGAACCATTCTGGGAACTGGAAGGGAGCGCTGCAGAGGGGAAAAAACTGCTGAAGGGACCATTAGTTCTAAGCTGGGGCTGCTGCAAGGGTGGTGGCTACTTGGGGGACTCATAGATACCTCCATAGTTCCAGTCCTGTTTTATTTCAATTTCATTCCCTATAATGGGGCAGGTGGAGGTATTCCTCTAACTGTTCCACCTCAGCTTCTCAAATCAGCTGGTTTAAGTTTAAAAAGAACATTTCTCCCTTCCCCACCCCCAAACAAGAACCACTTCGGAATGGAGGGAATGAACTCTTCCAAATAGCTCTATGTATGCATACTGGAACGAATACACTGTTGCTTGCTAGATGAAGTTGTTTATCTGGGTTTTTCAAAGAGTTGCTTTAAGGCTTCTATTCCACTCTACCCCCCCGCCCCCAATTAGGTTTGTATAGATAGTGGTTGGCACAGAGATTGAGCCCTCAATTACTTTGTCATGTGGTGTTGCAGGCTCTTTTACCCCTACATACGCAAATCTCCTAGGGGCATCATACATCAGCATGGGGTTGAAGTAACATCACTAGACAGATAATAACTTAGCTGTACATCACTGCTTCTGGCTGGTAATGTGAGACAGTTGGGACTGGCTGGGGAAGAACAGATGTAGATGAATCCTAGCAAGAGAGAGTGGTGGTGGGTACGGAGGCTGTCTGACATCATGTGCGGTGCTGGATGGAATTTGCTAAGTTTTGCAGTTCTCCTGGACTCACAACTCCTACTTGAACAGCAGCTGGAGGCCCTAGCCAGGGCAATCTTTGTAAAATTGCACCTGGTGCCAATTGCAACCATCCCTGGAGATAGTTCTCAAGGCCCCTGGGAGGCAAGCCTGAAAGGACTATTAAAACTAGCATTTATAGTCACAGGGTTGGAAAGGATCTTCAGGGTTAAGTCCAAGCTTTTAGTGTTCCGTAGTATGTCTGATAGATGACGCTACCGCCTCTGAAGACTTCCAATGGACAAGGAATCACTTCATGGGGCAGCCTGTTCCACTGAACCTACCTTGTAGCTCTAACTCATTGGATCTAGTCTTGCCACCTGGGAAAGCAGAGGAATGTGTGCTCCCAGTTCCTTCACCTTCCTATCCAAGGCCTTGTAGTCCCCAGATCATCTACTTGTTCCTTTGGGGGAAGGCAACACCATACAGAGTCAAAACCCAAGCTGAGCGAGCAGATGATCTTTTGGGACATATGCCTGTCTTGCTAGAATTCAGCTTGCTTTGTCCTATGCAATCTCTCACAACCTCCAGACAGTGGGTCAACTCTTCCACCATGTTTCTAGCTTGCCTGGGATAATTCAGGTAGACCTCGCTTAAGGACTATCTGTCAGCGACTGTTCAAAGTTGTGATGGTGCTGAAAAAAGTGACAGCTGGTCATCACAAGACCATCGCAGCGTCCCTGCGGTCATGATTCAGGTGCTTGGCGACTGTCATGCATTTATGACGGATGCAGCATCCTGCAGTCATATGACTCTGATTTTGACCTTCCCAGCTGGCTCTGACGAGGTCAGTGAGGAAGCCATTGCGGCCACGTGATGTCTTGCTTAATGACCACTTTGGTTAGTGATGGAGTTGTTGGTCCCAGTTAGGGTCGTTAAGCAGGGACTACCTGTACCTACCTGACTGTCATCAGCATACTGATGGCACCTCACCTGAACTGATGGATGACTCTCCTGGGTGGCTTCATGTGGATGTTAAAAAATAGGGGAGAAACGGGAGTAACTACCAGGCTGATCTCTCTTCCACTGTCCTTGATTGGAACTGCCCTCTTGGGCAGGGGTAGAACTACCATAGTACAACATAATCTATTTCCAAGTCTTGTAGGCAGTCCAAAAGGATGCCTTGATCAATGGCACTGAATGCCGCTGAGAGATTTAAGGGAGCCTGAAGGATGTTTCCCCACCTGTTGTTGAGGAAGTGGTGGGGTCCCAGCTACAGAGGGCCCTGGATGAAGTGGATTATCTAGACTCTTTTTAGGCTGGGGTGCAGAACTGAGATGGCATTGGTGACACTCATGGATAGCCTCTAGAGGGCTTGGGATGGGGTTGGTATGTCCATCCTGACTCTTGGTGGTTTTTGATGCTGTCAACCATGGTATCTTTCTGGACTAGCTCCAGGGATTGAGAAGCACCATTCATGGTGGTTCTCCTCCTTTCTCTGTGGCCAGTACCAGTCAGTGCTGACAGAGGAGGAGAGGTCCAGCCCTAGGCCCTATTACATGTGGTGCCTCTGGGCTCAAGTCTCTCCCCCCTCCTACATCCCTGCGAAGCTTGTAGCTTGTATCAAGGCGCAGCCAACATGGGTGCAGACCTGCACAAATGAGCAGTTTTGTGGGTAAACAAAGGCTTTGTGCATGCAGCCTGTTTTCAAGAACCCAAGAGCGCTTAGAAGGTACATGCTCACCAGCCCAACCAGGAAGCCAGGATCAATCCATCATTTTCTCCAAATGATCAGTACCAATGTTTTGCTTTTGGCAGTTGGCCTTTGGAGAGCTTTGGCCTGATTGCTTTTGAAAAGCAAGGGTTTTTGGGTGTAATTTGCCTTTGCCTTCTGGTTTGCTGAACTTCAGGAACACTCAAAAATGCAGAAGGATTTGGTAGTGGTTGGCCTGGCACACTTACTTTTATGTGCAAGATCTTGTTGATGAAAGTGGTGGTGGGTTTTGCTGAAAAGGCAGCTAGAGCCTTTTGGCTGGAGACGCTGGCTGTTCACTCTGGCTCTTTTGCACGTCCAGTTTAATGAAGCAAGGGTGTGTGTGTGACTTACATTTACTTTCCCTGTTAGCCAATTCATACTTACACTTAGGAGGCAACCATGGTATCTCCTAGGCACTAGCACTTATTTCTGTCCCACCAGGTAGAAATGGCCATATTTTGTTTGTTTTTGGCAGCCACAATAAAAAGAATATTAATTTTGCTCTCAGGGGGAGTACAGCCTAGGTTCCTCCCGATAAAAGCAAAGGTTGAATCCTGCGGCTGGGAGAAAAATAAGGGCAGAGAGCTTGACAGCAGGCTTCTGTGGAAAAGGGACTTCCCATAGAGGCTGTGGCACCCAAAGTCTGATTTGCTTTTTGTGCTGCTAAACCATTCAGTGGTTAGGGTGACCGCTGGAACTTACAGAACAGCTACAAAGAGGTGCAAAATATGGGGCCTGGGAGGGATGACTATGAATGGAGAAAAGGCAAGAACCTCCCTGGCAATTCTAGCCCTGGAACAGAAGTCTGGTCTGAAAGCCTTCCTTGGTTTATGTCTTTGCAGGCTGCACCTGATTGAAGAGCCAGAGAACAGCAAGGAGGGGGAGGTAATTTGCTTAGCTTTCCTGTGGGGAAAGGCTGTAATGTTTGGGACTCGTTAGCTGGGTAAAAAAGCAGCTTGAAGATGGATAAAATTGTGTACAGCAGAAGAAAATGGATAGGGGTCATCCAGAGGGGGAACTGGCAAAAAAGAAGCACTTCTTCAAAGGCAGCATAACTAACCTGTGGAACTCATTGCTGGCAGGATATAGTGATGGCCACTAATGTGGGCAGCTTTAGAATGGTTGGTATAAATGTGTGTAGATGTATAAATCTCTTTGGAAATTGGAGGATGGGATCCTTTTCTAGGAATAACTTTGCTAGATCAAAGCAGTGTTTCTTGGCTGCAGTATGGTTTCCAGTAACAGGTAGGCCCCCTCTTTGCTTTGGTTTACACTCTGAAGTAGCTATGCAAAGTTATTTTCAGCACTTGTGGCTAATGGGGAGTTTTGCACACCAAGAACATTTCTAAAGCCTTCTCAGAGCATCAAATTTAGTGGCAGAACAAAGGCTGCTATTGATTTGCCCCCCCCCCCCCCCCCTTGCTGCAGGTTTCCTGAAGTTCTTCGCTCGTGGTGGTATCTCACAGAGGTCTTCCTTACACCCACCATGGGGCTGCCAGTTCCAACAGAAGAAAGTTTTAGACTCAGATTCCCTGCTGAGTATCTTCATTCTGTGCCTTGTTTTTTCAGGAATGTTTTCTGCTGCATAGAATTTGTTTTCTTGCTTGGTCTGCGCTCCTGTTTAATGGGGTTCATGCAGGATGTTCCCCAGTTATCCAATTTTGTGGCTTTGGCTGTTTACTTACTGGTTAAAAAATAAAGCTGTTTAATTTAGAATAACAAGGAAGTAGCCTATCCTGCATTGAGTCGGACCACATAGGACTCGCTGTGGGTCACATACCTCACCCAGCGATGAGGAAGAGTAGGTTGTGGTCCTGTGAAACGCAGGAAGCGGATTTGTAGCCCAGAACAGGTGTGGGCTGGCATCTCAAAAGATAGGTTGACGGGACCAAGCTCACGTAGTCCTGCCTGGGTTAGCCCTGGAACCTCCAGCTGCCGAAGGAGAAATCAAACTCTCTCAGGACAAGGAGTGGGTGCCCAGTCCCTCATCCTTCCCACCAAGGAACCCTTGAGAGCTCTGCTGCGGCACCTCCTTCCCTAAGCGTTGTGCTGCTGAAACCTGATTGCTCTTTACCTTAAACATGGCAGAAAGTTGGGTGCCACCTTGGATTCGGGGGACAATCCACTCAATAGACTTGGTGGTGGGCTGCAAGATGGCTGTCTGTTCAGGGCTGCTCAACTCCTGAGAAAAGCTGGAAAGGAAGAGAAGAAGATCCAGCAGTCTTGGACTGGGCAGCAGTGAGGGCCTCACCTTGCACAACAGAAGGCCGACGGCTGACTCACCTCAGTGTGGTTTTGGGCACAGGGAGGTGGATGTGAATGTGGACAGCATGGCTGCAAAAAATTAGAATGTTATGCTGAGAGACAGAGGCTTAAGTCTCTTTCCCCCACTCAGAACACAATAAGGGGCTTTTTACCTTTTGGGAAGTAAGTCACAACGAAGCTTGAGATAAACTTGCACCCTGCAAAGGAAAAAAAAGGTGGGAGGAGGACGACGAGCCCATATTGGCTTGGCATTTTGAAAAGCCCCGCGGACACAGCGCGCTGTCACTCACCGGCCACAGGAATCATGCCTGATGGTGGGAAACAGATGGAAAGGCAGGGCTGCGGGGATGTCATCAGCCAACTGATACTGCATCAAAGTCAGCTGCTCAAAAAAAGCAATTTTGCTGATGAGGTTTTCTGAGCAGATTTTAAGGGAAAATCCGCATCTAAGGTAATTTAAAGAGTTAAATCCTAAGGAATGAAAAAGCAAACATGCTTAAATGGCTGCTGTTTGAATTTTACCAATTATCCAACTCAGATAGTATTTCAACACTAAAACCACCACCAGTAAACTTAGAGAAAGACCATGGGTGTGGCTGACAAGCTGAACATGAGACAACGGTGAGAGATGGCTGCTAGAAGGGTTAATGCAGCCCTTGACTGCATTAAGAGAAGTACTGTATAAAGCTCTGTGAAACCATGAATTCTCTCTACTTGACACGGGAGTACAGTCGGGTCTTCACATTTATGGGTTCATGTTTTTTGGGGGTGGTTGCGAAATTTATTGTATTAAAAATTTGGCTGCTGCTCTTGCATTCACCCTGACTGATGGCGGAATGCTCAGGTTCAGTCTTGCAGTGAATGTCATCCAAGTAGGATGGCTTGTGACCTTTGTAGTGTGTGCCCATGCTAGGCTACTCTAACTTAACTGTAGGCACACATAGAAAACATCTGGGCCTATTTGAGCAAAAGTACAGATTTTTGTGGAATTTCATATTTTTACACAAAGTGTTGACATGAAACCCTCGCAAATACAGAGACCTGACTGTACTATGTATGATTCTGAACACTCCATTTCCAGAAGCACATTGACAGGTTGGAGACAGTTCAGAAGAGGGCAATGAAGGTAACATAGGGACCTGAGGACAATCTGAAGGAGCTTGGTATATTCAGTCTAGAAAAGAAGACACAGGGGAGATAGGTATATACAAGTAGTTCTTGACTTACGACCATTAGTTTAATGACCGTTTGAAGTTATGATGGCATTGGAAAAAAGTGACTTATGACCAGTCCTCACACTTATGACTGTCACAGCTTCCCCACGGTCATGTGATAAAAATTTGAGCACTTGGCAACCAGAATGTATTTACAACAGTTGCAGAGTCTGGGGTCACGTGATTGCCATTTGTGACCTTCCCAGCTGGCTTCCAACAAGCAAAATCAATGGGGGAAGCTGGACCACAGCAAAAAAGGTCATAAAATCTGGCACAACTCAATGGCCTCATAGCTTAGTGACGGAAGTTCTGGTCCCAACTCTGGTCATAAGCTGAGGACTACCTGTAAAGAAGCTACAGGTAGGTCAAGAATTATTTTCTGGTCACAGAAATTAGGACCAGAAATAACATACCATATGTAACTTTTAGCTACTTATATTTTGTTTAAATATAAGGGAAAACCTCTAGATGGGAAGATTTGTACAAGAATGAGACAATCTACCTACAGAGATTTCACTGGTTTTCCTACACACTGCAGAGTGTAAAGACAGTCCCTTCCAACTTCAAAATTCTGTTTCTATAAGTCTCAATTTACAATAGCAATGGGGCACAAGGATCCCTTCCTATCAATTGCATTTTACTAAACACTCTTATCAGAACAAATCTTTCATCTGGCTGACCCAGAGGATAACCTGTGCTAGAGGCATCATTTCAAATGAAAAGCCAGCAAAAAAGAAGGATCTCCTGTAACATTAGAGGTTTTCCCTAATCCAGTATAGAAACTTGGACTCAAAACACGTCATGCTGGTTACGCTGGTTGCAATAATTCAGGCAGGCCTATAGCTAACATGATCTCCTGTACTTTATCTTGACAGTTGCCTTGAATGAAAACAGTATTCTTGAAACCCCTTTCGTTTTGTTTTCTTCTCCCAGATCAAATCTTTTGGGCATTGCTAGACAGCAGGCAGATAGCAGATTGGAACTCAATCCTGGCTCAGGTCCCAAATACCAATACATACAAAATGGATGACTGGTGGATGATTAGCTGATGAAATGGATGGGACTGTTAGAGAGTTGCAATACAGATTAATGCGGGGGGGGGAGGGAGAGGGTTGTGAAACTCCACAAATAGCTGAACAACTGCCATCTGTTCCAGCCAGCAAGGCTAATGATGAGGGACATCTGGGAGGACATTGGTGTCCCCATCTCTCTGGTTGACCTTCAGATACAACATGACAAAATGCCTGGTAGACATCTTCACCCAGCCAGATCAGAGATGCTCAGGAATAATTCATTATCCACTCTTCCAACCATGCAGATCTGTTCCCATGCCCTTACCTCCCCTTGGCTGGGGCTGACACGGAGGATGCGACTGCACTCAAATTCATCTAGTTTAACAGAACTGTGGAAAGAACACTCATCCACGCGGACAGCCGTGCCATAACCTGGGGACGAGACCAATCAGAGAGGTGGCTTACAAGATCCACTTGGAATAAGATGGCCGGTCAGTCAGCTGCCATTCTGGGGGAAGTACTGAGTACCAGCAGTGTACGATCACGGACATCCCTATCAAATAGGGACAGTCACGATAGCCTAGCAACTGCTGCAACAGGTAGCCCAGTTAGGGGTAGTGCCACCGATGCAGCTGCGGGAGGGAGGGGGGAACATTGGTGGCCACTCCCAGGGTAGCCCGTTTCTGTAGCCTGCTGTAGGGATTCACCTCTCACGCTGCTGCCGCCGCCGCCTTAGGAAAGTTAGTTTCACCCATAATAACTAAGACCATTTGGGGCTAAGATTCACCCTGTTGTTGATGGGGTAATAATCCCACCCGGTACATCGCAATTACTCAGCCACAATGAAGGGGGCTACGCACCTCGAAGCTCTGTCTTGCCCACGCAGAACTCCTCCACGAGGCCAATCCGCATCTCTGTAAGGGAAGCGGCAGCCCAGTGAAATCTGTCGCCCTTCTCTGTTCGCCGTGTCCTGCAGGCTCCCACCACGGACTGCATAGACCGTCTTCTGAGCCCCTTCTTACCACGTGATATTTCCAAAGACATTGTGCGAGGCCCCAACCTGGGCCATGCTGGGCCACGCTAGTGGTGGCTAAATGTTTTCCTCCCAGGAAGCTGCTCGTCTTTCTCAAGGATGTAAGCAAAGATCAGGAAGCAGGTCTGGGCCTCTCTGCCTATGTCCTATGATTGACCCACATTTTTTAATTAACACTTTCTATTTATTCTCACAAGTTGTGAGATAACAAACTTCCCACTCTAACCCCAACGGGATAGTTATTTCCCCCACTTGCGTTAGCTAGGCATCCAATACCTGAGAGACGCTTAATCCTCATCAACCCTTCCTTGCTGGTGCCTAAACTAAGCTCTGCGTGGGTGTTGAGCTTTCAACTTGCCCAATGAAAGCAACCCCTTTGTGAGCTGATGGAATTTCTCCTCTAAAGCTTTGGCTTACTGTGGGAGTTGCAGAAGAAATCTGTCACTGAAAGTACTGGATTTGCATTAATAAACACATTAATTGCAGTTATCTTGGTATCTTTTCCTGCGTCCACCCTCTTTGATATCTGACCAGCAAATTCTAAATTAGCTGGCAATCCTGTGCTTCCTTCAGCTAAGGAGAGGCCCTAAGCAAGCACCCACGGCAGCGTGAATCTCCAAATGCACGGTTATCTAACGGGACTCTTTCTTAAAGCATATAAAAATCAATAGTATTAAGGTAAGCTCTAAAGAGGTTTCTGCCCCATTAATTGCCAGACTGGGGATGGTGAATACAGTAGAAAAATGGGGAAATGACTTCAGGTCCAAACAGAGAGGTAACCACCAGTACAGGACCTAAAGTAACTATGATTTCCCTGTTTTACGTTAGGCCTCCCAGAAACCAGCATGGGGTGGGGAGGGAATACTTCAAGCGTGGGGATGGCTAGCCCCATAGAGGCCTGCTGTCTTCAGCCCCAGATTCTTCATCTTCTTGGATTCTCCTTTTCCTTTTTTAGTAATGTTTTTAAATTGATGTTTTATGTATTTATATATATTTATGGTTTTAATGTTTTGTGTGAGTCGCCAGAGTTCCCCCATTGGGGGGGAGAGAAATTAAATATGGGGTGGGGAGGGAATACTTCAAGCGTGGGGATGGCTAGCCCCATAGAGGCCTGCTGTCTTCAGCCCCAGATTCTTCATCTTCTTGGATTCTCCTTTTCCTTTTTTAGTAATGTTTTTAAATTGATGTTTTATGTATTTATATATATTTATGGTTTTAATGTTTTGTGTGAGTCGCCAGAGTTCCCCCATTGGGGGGGAGAGAAATTAAATAAATAAATAAAATAACTGTACATATGACGGCCTCCACCCACCAGAGCAACCAGGAAAGAAGCTCTTGAGCCGGATTTCTCCTTGGATGTCAGTTTTCATGGGAGTGCCCTGGAAGAGGAAAAGACAACCCTCAACCTTCCCATCCTGAAAAGGACCGTGGATTTTAAAGAAAACAAAAAGGTTCTCCAAGTACTTTCTGACTCACGTTGGCAGCAATGATGACTGTGAGTCGTTCTACCACATCCAGGAAAACCTCAGGCTGTGAAATCTGGAGAAGAAAAGAAGGCACCATCCCATTCCCTAAACCTCCTTGCGCGCAGGGACCCAAGGCCATGCCACCAGAGTTTCCAGGGGACTTGTTGCTTTGCCCATGCCAAGGTAAATGGTGAAGCTGCACTACAATGGTTGCTCGAGGAGGCGGTGCACGCTCTCTAACTCCTGCAGAGTGGGTGAATATATTTCTTTCTGGGACCTCGGGCCATATGATTTTGTGGGGTGGACTCTAAACAGATGGCAGAGCATAAATCGCAGCTCCTTTCCATTCCTCATCAAGAGATCTGACAATGGAGCAGGATGGAGTCATTCTTTTCTGAAGAGTTTCTGATTCTGTGAACTGTTTTTAGGATAAGGGCCAGATTTGGCATTTGTGTGACATCTGAGATGAGGTGAAGATGCCCCAAATTGGTAGGATTGGGAGAGTTTTGAAATTAAATACAATTTATGTAATTCCTCTCCACACTTTTTGTGGGGCTTTGGAGACTGGACCTCAGCTCATGACCTCTTCCACCCTAACCCATCATGCTATCTGACTAGTGCCTCCTTCAATCAACACCTTTGGAGGCTTTATGGGACTGACAACAGACTGGAAACTAGAAGATCAAGGGTGAAGAAGATCTTACCTGCTCCCCCCGCAGCGTTAGGACCGGACGAGCAGCTGCACAACTGGGGGCCACTTTGCTCTGTTGCGTATCAGCCCCAAACTGAAATCACATAAAACAGCAGAAATGTGGGGCCATGAGGAAATTATTAAGAACACAGATAAAATAATCATCTTTGTACTATATCTAAAGTTAGTAGGGCCAAGCGCATCAACTTTATAATGGGGCTTTCCTTGATATTGTAAAATGAAAAACAAACCTCCTGTTTCCTTACAGACTAACTGTGAAATGAATGGGAAAAACAGTACCGCTATGTACTCAGGCTCTCGGAGATGGGCTCAGGAGGAAGAAGAACAAGAAATCCTAGAAGGTAACTTGGAGGTCCGTGCGTTCTGATGTAGCCTTACCTCACCTTTTCACCTACAAGACACTGAACACAACTAGCAATCTAAAACCACGCAAATCACTCATAATAGAGAGAAGGAATGTAACTTATTATAATACCTCAAAGGGCTCGAGCGAAGAAAATCTTGGTTCCTTAACTGAGAGCGGGAAAACACGGGTATACGCAACTACTAAGGAAGCACCCTCCAGAGCTTAGGATCCGTGAACAAACACAAGAGCAGACCACGACCAACCTCGGTCTTCCTTCCACCCGCGGCTCTGTGGCTGGTCTCGAGAAGCAAGCGCTACAAGGCTGGCTGGCGGATGAGGCAGGACCTTTCCCATGTACCTCTGAGGATGTGCGCGTGAATGCGGAGAAGGGGTCCCTCCGGGGAAAACAAAGGCTTGCCAGCCAGAGGCCAAGGCTGGACTCGCGCCCCCCAACTACTTCTCCCGGGGCACATCAAAGGGGTTCAAGCAAGAGGCCTTCCTGGACTCCCAGCGCCCACTCACCAAGCCCACGGTGCTGAGGTCGAAGAGGCTGAAGGGCTGGCTGAGCACCGGGTCCATCTGGATGAAGCTTTTCAGGACTTCCGGGGCGGTGGTCTGGATGTAACCATAATCCTAGGCGGGGCGGACGGAAG